CCTGCGCGGCCGCCGAGCCGAGCGGACGCCCTCGGGGCCGCGCCGCAGCCCTCTGCGCTCCCCCCTATCATGCCCCGGGCCCGGGCTCGGGCCGCCCAAGCAGCCAGGACACCATGCCCGAGGGCGGCGGAGGCGACAGCGGGGAGGTGCCCGCGTTCATCCCGGACGGCGAGCCGCTGCGGGAGGAGGTACCGGCGCTGTGTGTCGGGGGGCCGGAGCCAGGGCTGGAGCGGGGATGAGGGGGACGACGGAAGGGGCAAACCCCGGGACAGGCGCTGAGGGGGGGAAGTCTCAAAACCCCAGTTGCCAATGACGTCATTAGGGTAGCCGGCGTCTGGCGAGCCGAGGGGCTCGCGTGGGGGGTCGAGGTGGGGGGGCTGGGAAGGGAGGAGGGGGCGACTCCCGCCCCGGGAGCCCCTTCATCCCTCCTCGCCCTCCTGTGACGTCAGCGCCTGGCCCCTGCGCGCCCTCATTCCGCAGCGCTGCCCCTCACCCCCGAGGCCCCGGGGGTCAGGCCCCCCGCCCAGCCCAGCCCAGCCCAGCGGCTCACGAGGTGCCCGGGCGGCGCCTGCAATGCAGCAGCAGTAGTCGGGACTTGGGGGAGGGAGCGGAGGGAGGAGGGGAAAGAGGAAAGGAGGCGGCATCTGGTACCCCTTCTCCCTCTCCCCGCGGTGAGGCCCGAGGGCCCATCCTGCCGGCTGGGACCCCCAGACTGGCCTCTCCTCAGCCCTAGCCAAGAAAAGGATCTGCGGAGGTGTGGGGCCCTGTGTGGGGTGTTGGGGTGATAGGTGGTGAGTGGGTCTGTGTACGTGTTTGGATGGATGTAGTGTGCTTGTGGGTGTGTGAGTGCTAGTCCGTGCTCCCCACATCTCGGGTGAGCTGGAGTCAGGTGACGGTCTGGTGGCTGCTTGGCTTGGCTGATGTGATGCGTGAAGGTGTTCTGTCGTGGGTGGGTCTCTCCTGTCGACTCTGGGGTGTGATTTCAGGTTGCAGTAGGGGCGGGGTTGGGGGATGTGCACTGTGGTCAGGTGAGGGTCTGGTGTGGACCTGGGCTTCAGTGAATGTGTAACCGGCATATGCATGTGTGTGTCCTGTGCTGGGTGGGTCTGTGTGAGGTGTGTGCAGGTGGGTGAGTGCGTGCACCTGAGCACCCTGTGATGGTTGTGAGGGGTTGTGCCTTGGGCGCTGGTGAGGGCCCGGGGTCTGGGATGAGCAGGCCACGTGCACATCTGTGGTTGGTGGGTCTGTGATAAACATGGGGTGGGGGGTGGACGTGTGGGCGTGTGCATCTGACTGGCCCTGCAGGTCATGGTGATGATGTGTCCGTGTGGTGGGTGACTGCGGGGGAGGGCAGGCTGTCCTGGGCTGGGCTGGGGGCATTTCCTCTCCTCTTGGATCTCTCAAGACCTGGTGTTGCTGGGGTTGGAGAGGTGGCCCTTACCTCCACCTCTGCTGTTTCAGCAGGCCCCCTCTTTCTTCCTTCTCCTTCTTTTCTCCACTCCCTCCCCCGTCCCCCACTTCTCTCTCCATAGGCACCCTAGAGGTGAGGTGGGGGCCAGGCTGGGAGCCCTGCCCAGGAGGAATAGGCCAAACCCTTCCGGCCAAGGAGTGGCCCTGCTGCCCAGCAGCTGTGTCCCACCCCCTCCCTCGCAGCACAGATGGGGAGTGGAGGACGACGCTCCATCTGCGCCCCCCCCCAGACTCACACCTCCTCCGTTCCCAGCTCTTCCTCTTCTCTTACTTAAAAGCTTCTCCCAAGTCTCTAAGTGGAACCAAGGGACCCGAGGGAGTCTCAGGGTAACAGGAATAATATTTATTGCTATGGCCAGACGCCATGCTGAGAAGGCCACACATAAGATCTTGTTGAAACCTCGCAAAAGCCCCAGTTTACAGATGAGGAGACTGAGGTCCAGAGAGGATGAGGGACCTGTCCAAGTCATCCAGTAAGTGGTGGAGCCAGCGCCGAATCCTGGGCCATGGAGCCCATGCTCTTCACCCTTAGGACCCCGTGCCAACAGGTCCAGCGGGTCCAGGAAGCAAGGCCCAGAGAGGGCAGGAATATGGCCAAGACCACACAGCAAATTAGGGGCAGGGTTGGGACCAGAGATCAGTTTTCCAAATGGCCACTCAGGGGGCCCTTCCCTCTCTTGGCAGAGATGGGTCTGTTTCGTCCTAGGTGCCCTCGACTGAGAGACAATGGGGCACCTCTACTGGGACAGGCTCGGGGGCGGGGCAGAGAGGCCCCAGTTTGAATCCTGCAGCTCTACTGTGAGAGCCAGAAGGGCGAGGTCTGGAGCAAGATGCTCAATCCCTGAGAGCCTCAGTTTCCTCCTCTGTGGAGTGGGGAGCAGAGCCCCAGCTCCTCCCAAGGGCTTCGGCAGGGGGGCAGGTCCAGCCGACGGCCTGTCCTGACCCCCGCCTCTCCCCCTCTCTGCCCACCCTGCAGCAGCGGCCCTTGAAACAGTCCCTGGGAAGCTCCCTGTGCCGAGAGTCGCACTGGAAGTGCCTGCTGCTCACGCTGCTCATCCATGCCTGCGGCGCCGTGGTGGCCTGGTGTCGCCTGGCCACGGTGCCACGGCTGGTCCTGGGGCCTGAGGCAGCCCTGGCCCGCGGGGCCGGGGGCCCACCGCCCACCTACCCAGCCAGCCCCTGCTCCGATGGCTACCTATACATCCCGCTGGCCTTTGTCTCCCTCCTCTACCTCCTCTACCTGGCCGAGTGCTGGCACTGCCACGTGCGGGCGTGCCAGGCGCCGCGCACAGACGCCCACACCGTGCTCGCCCTGATCCACCGGCTGCAGCAGGCGCCGCCCTGCGTCTGGTGGAAGGCCACCAGCTACCACTACGTGCGCCGCACCCGCCAGATCACCCGCTACCGCAACGGCGACGCCTACACCACCACGCAGGTCTACCACGAGAGGGCCGACAGCCGCACGGCTCGCGGCGAGTTTGACTACTCCGCCCACGGCGTCCGCGACGTCTCCAAGGAGCTCGTGGGCCTGGCTGACCACGCGGCCACGCGGCTGCGCTTCACCAAGTGCTTCAGCTTCGGCAGCGCCGAGGCCGAGGCCTCGTACCTCACCCAGAGGGCCCGCTTCTTCAGTGCCAACGAGGGCCTGGACGACTACCTGGAGGCCCGCGAGGGCATGCACCTGAAGGACGTGGACTTCCGCGAGTCCCTCATGGTGTTTGCGGACCCCCGCAGCCCGCCCTGGTACGCGCGCGCCTGGGTCTTCTGGCTGGTGTCGGCGGCCACGCTGTCCTGGCCACTGCGCGTCGTGGCCGCCTACGGCACGGCCCACGTGCACTACCAGGTGGAGAAGCTCTTCGGCGCCAGCTCGCCGCCCCCCGGGGCCGTGCCCAGCGGGCCCCCGCTCTCCCGCGTGGCCACGGTGGACTTCACCGAGCTGGAGTGGCACATCTGCTCCAACCGGCAGCTGGTGCCCAGCTACTCGGAGGCTGTGGTCATGGGCGCCGGCTCTGGCGCCTTCCTCCGGGGCTGCCCGCGCTGCCGTCGCTCGCTCAGCAGCAGCTCGCTGCCCCCCGCCCGGCCCAGCGGGCCCCGCCTGCCTTTCAGCCGCAGCCGCCTCTCCCTGGGAGCTGGGGGCCGGGCCACGCCGGGGGTCTTCCGAAGCCTGAGCGGGGGGCCGCTGGGGCGCCGTGGGGAGGACACAGAGCCCCTGGAAAGCCCACCGTGCTACGAGGACGCCCTTTACTTCCCGGTGCTCATTGTCCATGGTGATAGCGGCTGCCAGGGGGACGGGCAGGGTGCCCTCTGAGACCCCCGTGGTCCCTGGAGTGGCCTCCTCCCCACCATCCCGCCATGGGCTCCGATGCCTGAGTAGCTGTTGTCCGAGACAGGAAGGGGAACACAGACCAGCACACGAGGGGTGGGGGTGGGGTAGAGTCCTTGAACAGACTGTAGCGCAGTGACCCAGGGTCATTTTGGGGGTGAATGGACACCCCCACTGAAGTGGAGTCTGTGAACTGTCCCAGCATGACTCCCCTCACCACCACCACCACGTTCCACCCTGTGCAGCGGCTGGTGATCCAGCTTAGGGCCCTCTCAGGTTGGGCGGGGTCGGGGGGGGGGGGGGATGTTTCCAGAAAGCCTGGGATGGGGGAGGAGTCCTGGGGACAGCTGTTGCATGCAGCCGAGGGCTGCCTCTGGGCTCTTCCCTGCACTGCCGAGGCCACATTGGGAGCCCTCGGGCAACCCAGAAGCACAAATTGGTGGTTTGGGGCCATGCCCGGTTGGTCGGGCTGGCCTCCACGAAGCTGAGGAGCTGGATGAGGCAGCTCCACAGCCTTGGCCCCACGACCAGCCCCAAGACCCCATCCTCCTCCCCTGACCTGCCCCTCCCTGCCTGCCCTCTGGTCTCTGCTCAGGGTCTTCCCCGATCAGACTCTGTGGCACAGCCCCTGTATTGGGAGCCCGGTTCTTGGAGCACAGCCTTGTCCCCCGTGGCCCCCTGATTTTCCCTGGTGTACCCTCTCCCACATCCAGCTCCCCTATGACCTGGGGTTCCTTTTCAGGGCCCTGCCTTGATCTTGCATCTCCTTGTCTCTGCTCCTGTCCCCCCAAAGTCCACCTCCGCCTCTATCAGCCACGCACACACACCCAGGCTTTGCCCTCTCATTGCTCCCCCAGACTTCTCTGCTCTTCACCTTCCTGATGACCCACGGGGCCCAGGGCCACAGGGCATCCGAGGGACCTCGGCCTTGGCCACAGCCTCTTGGACGATGCACCCGCTCTGCCATGGAGGCCCCTGCTTCTCCCATTGGTGGGGCCTGGCCTAGGGGACACCATCCCTCCTCCAGGGAGGAGAGAGTAGTCCCTTTCCAACTGGGGTTTCCACCACCTCTCAGGGGCCAGTGGGGGAGGGAGGAAGCAGAGAAGATGCAGATAAAATAAAAGGTATGAAATGGAAGGTCTTCTCACGTTGCATTCCTAAGTGGTGGGTCCAAGGCCACTACAAGAACAGTGGGTCACCCGGGGTCAGCGATTCAATGCTCAGCTCTGGAAGGGGATGCCGGGTTGGGCTCCAGTGTTCCCAGGAACAGGGTAAGCTGAAAGGGAACCCCCTTGTCCAGCTGAGGGCCTGATACTCAAGTTTGAATTGCTCTGAGCAGCTGATTCCAACCAAGTGGTATCTGGGTCACTTCTAACACGTTTTCCAAGTGGTCCGTCTTCCAGCCCGGTGGGGGTTTTAATTCCACAGCTGGGCAGGCTGAGGACTAAGAGACCAAAGTGGAAGGAAAGAGCTATGGTCTGTGGTGCAAGTTCAGTGCCCCCGATGGCTACTGGTGTTTGGGGGAGTGGGCGTTGAGCATGTCAGAGGATACAGGGTGGGAAACAGCCAGCCCCACGTCAGCCCATGAGATCTGAAGACCGAGAACAAGGGCAAACGAAGGGCCTCACTCCCTCCTGGCAGTGGCATCTTCCCATGTACGGCCATGCAGGGTGTTCACTCTGCCAGGGCACTGGGCTGAAGGATAAGTGTGGGTGGAAGCCAGCCTGTGGGCCACTCCTCAAGCCCCGGCATGGAGTTGTACCCACCTGCACAAAGGCCCCAGAAGGACTAGTGGTGGCTCTAGAAGGTGCTGGGAACAGGTGGGATTCGCCCGGGGAAGAGACGGGGCAGAGGGTGTTCTGGGCCGCGGGACTGCCTGCACAAAGGCCTGGATGCAGGGCATGAAGCAAGGTGTGAGGAGGAGGAAGAAGAAAAGAGCTGTGAAACAGTTGGCTGAGGCCTTCCATAGCAAACCCAGAATTTGTCCATAAGCTGGGGCAAACCAGAACCACGAACGTGCCTGAGCAGGTAAGTGACAAGGTCAGGGCCACATGCTAGAATTTTAGGTGAAGTCCAGCTGCCTGCTGGCCATGGGGGGAGGGTGGTGTTAGACCAAAGCTTTCCCTGGGCATCACTGCCTCGCTTCTTTGGGAGTGAAGTCAGTTCTTTGTTCAGAAGCAACTTGAAAAAACTATGGTACCCAAGCATTTAAGGAAGCTGCATGGACATTGTGGGGGAGGAGTGTGGGGTGGGGGGGGAGGTTTCCTGGCTCCAGCTCCTGCCCATGAAGAAGATTTCCTTCTTCCATTCTCCTGCTCTAACACCACAGTCACGAACTACCTGCTAGCTATGATCCACTATCCTCTCTTTCTCAACAACAGAACCCCAGTCTTACTTCAGATGGCAATGAGCCCAGCTAAAAGGCAACATTTCTAGCCTCCCTTGCACATATAGTGTGATGCGGTGACTTAATTTTAGGATATGAGATATAAGCAGAAGGTGTTGGAAAGGATTTTTAAGAATGCTCCTTGAGATAGAAATAATATCGGTGAAGGCTAGTTCGGTCCTCTTGTTTCATCCTGCATTCAGCCTGGAATGCAAATGTGATGGTTGGAACTCCAGCAGCAATGTTGGATCAGGATGTGACCTTGAGAATTGTGCTCATGTGCTGAGACTAGCAGAACAACAAGATAAAAGACCCTGGGCTTCTAATGACACCATAGGAGCTTCCATATTATCCTTGGGTTGCCTACTTGCAGATTCTCAATAAGAAGGAGAAATAAACTTCTAGTTTGTTTTAAGCTACCGTTTGTTTGTTTTTTTTTTTCTTGTTTCTATTACTGGCATCCTATGTTAATTATCTACTACTACATAACAAATTACCCCAAAACTTAGTGGCTTAAAACATCAATAATCATTATTATCTCTCCTGGTTTCTGTGGGTCAAGAATTCAGACAGAGCAAACAGGGATGGTTTATCTCTGCTCTGGGACATCTAGAACCTCTGCTGGAAGATTCTAAAGCCAGGGGTGGAATCATCAGAAGGTTCATTAATTCATATGTTGGGCAGTTGGCGCTGGCTGATGGCTGAGGGCCTAAGTAGGTCTATTGACTGGGACACCCAAAGAGGGCCTCTCCATGCAGCTCGGGCTCCCTCGTAACATGGTGGCTGTTTCCAAGGACAGGTGTATCAAGAGGGTAAAAGCTGTTATTGCCCTTTATGATCTAGCCTTAGAAGTCACGCACGCCACTTCTACCCTTTCTATTGGTAAAGGTTATTAAGAAGATCCACCCAGTTTCTAGGGGAGGAAATATAAGACCCCACCTCTCAATGGCAGCTTGTCAACATCACATTATAAGATTGGCATGTTGGAGAGGAGGATCCTAGTGACTATCTTCAAAAATGCAATCAGCCACTGAGCCAAATGCCATACTTAACTGATAGACATCTACAGAGTGGTCTGCAAAATGAACACCAACCTTTGAGGGAAGAAGGTGGTGACGTGACAGATGTGGGCCAGTTGGGCAGAACAATCTGCTCAGGTCATTTGTTGGGGCCCTCTGACCCATGATAGCTTAAATATGGCCACAAATTCTTCACAGCTTCCCCCTCAAGAGGTGGAATCTGTTTCCCTGCTCTTTAAACCTGGGTCAGCCTTGTGACTTGCTTTGACCAATAGAATGTGGTGGATGTGATGTTTGCACCTGGAGAGGTTGGGTCTTGAGAGGCCTTGCAACTTCTACCTGTGGTGTCGTGGAGCCCCAAGACCACCACGCTGTGAAGACACTCAGCCTCGCCTCCTGACAGATGACAGGTTGTGTGCAGGAAGACTAAGGTCCCTAGTCAAGAGCTAGCTAGCATCAGCTTCCAGATATGGGAATGAGGCCATCTTGGATATGCCAGACCCAATCAAATCACAGATGACCATAGATAGCCACAGGAATGACCCCGGGTGTAACTAGCAGAAGAATCCCCAGGCTGCTCCCAGCCCAAATTGCTGACCTACAGGTTGGTGAGAAATAAGAAATCCTTGTTGTTTCATAATACTAAGTTTTGAGGTGGTTTTTTGTGTGCGATGGATAGTTGATAAACGCTGGACCCACTTCTACTTCACAATGGGGGATCACTGGGCCTGCACAACCAGGTAGAGAAGAGAATCACGAACCCCAGTGTCTTCTTGACAGCTCCCATCTCCTGGTCTCCTGCTGTCTCATGTTCACGTGTTCAGTCTCTGTTACAGCCAACATCGAGTCAGGAGAATTCTTAAAAGGAGAATGATGTCGAGGAAGGGGACAGAGCCTTGTTCCAAAATCCCAGAGGCCTCTGCCTTTACTCTCTGATTGAAGTCTGGGACAGCATGGCCAAAACAGAGCATTTGACTTCCAACCTGCACCCAACTCTGCCCCTCTGTGTCTTTTCCATTTCAGGAAAGAGTGCCACCATTCATCCCGTTGCTTAAGCCAGACATTTGCATGCCAATCCTCTCCTTCTCCTTCTTAACTTTTTATTATGTAACATTTCAGGCATCACAAAAGTGGAGAGATGGGTGCAATGAGGCCCAGCTCTACAGCCATCACCCACCGTGACCACTCTCACGTCACCCACACACACCTCCCTCTTCTCCCTGCTGCATCTGGGTTATTTTGAAGAAGACCCACAAGCTGTGGCATTTCATCCATGAACACCTCCTTACCCCCACCCACATGAGATCTACCACCCGGGATTCCTACCTACAGCAGCTCCCTGAGCAGTCCCCAGATCCTCTCCATCCCAAGCCACCACCTGGCTTCAGGTGCCCAGGGGCCCTCCTCCAGTGACTACACAGACTCCACAAGCCTCCCTTTCACTCATCCCCTTCAGCCCATGGAGCATCATCTTCACATGTGAATCAGATCACATCTCCACCTGACTCAACATACACTGGTGCCCCCTACCAAACATCAAATATAGTCCAGGCTCCTGCCCCGGCCCTCAGATCCCTGTGGACTCTGGCAGATGTCCCTAGGCTTACCTGGAGCCTGCCCCCCTTTCCTTACAAAGCCCCAGCCACAGGGGCCTCGTGCCTGATCCTAGAACAAGCCAAGCTCCTTGCTGCCCTGGGGTCTTGGCACACACTGTCCCACCTCCTGGAACTCTCTTCCTTCCCCTAGCTCTTCCCTTGCTCCCTTCACCACTCAGGGCTCTGCTTGTGTGCGAGTCCTGATGGTCTAAATCCATCCCCTACCAACCCCACTGCTATCCTTGCAATAATTTCTATGTAAGTGTGTACAAGTTTATTATTTGTTCTTCTGTTAGAACTAAAGCTATGGGAGGCAGGTGGTGGCAGATGCAGATCTTGGAGTCGGCAAGCCACTTACCCTCTCTCTCAGTCTTCTCAGATCAAATGGGGGGTAATAATAGAACCTACTGACTTCTGGGGCGCCTGGGTGGCTCAGTCATTAAGCGTCTGCCTTCAGCTCAGGTCATGATCCCAGGGTCCTGGGATGGAGCCCCGCATCGGGCTCCCTGCTCGGCGGGAAGCCTGCTTCTCCCTCTCCCACTCCCCCTGCTTGTGTTCCCTCTCTCGCTGTGTCTCTCTCTGTC